TTACGAGTACATAATAATTTGATCTTAGGTTTACATTGATATTAGTGTTAAAAAAAAATAATAAGAGTATAAATATCTGATTTTAGTAGACTATCAATAGTTCAAGATTCGATGATTCAAAAATCTCTATAAATTGAACTGAACCTTTGGTGTCCTCATACAGTCTAAAGAAAACACATACTAGTACGTTGTACCTGGGTCTTTTAGATGTATCAAAAGTAATAAAGTGTGAAATAGCGGCACACACCCTACGATTCGAATATTTTAGGCCCGAATCTCTATAATTGAAATGTACATTAACTGTACAAATTCATAAATAAATTTAATTATAAATGTGGCTTAACTTATCTATACTCGTATTCAACAATTACGTATAATATTATGTAATTTTAGCATCGAAAAATTAACAATGGCGATGATATATGTCGGGGGAGGGGGCCGTAGGCTGATTCCAGCCTGCCAAGTTTACTGATATTTTATCATTATAATTCCAAATATGAAAAAATATGTACATTCAATTATTTTAATATTTAGCTTCACTTATTTATGTGAACAGACGTTTTTATAAATGAAATACGTCAAATCTAAGTACAGAACCAACTTAAGCGTAAAATATTTACAAACGACGCTGTTTCACTCACCTTCATGCAGGACATAGTTAACTTTCTTACCGCAATAATTTATACTATAGGTATATAACGTTAATTTTGTATACTTTGTTATTATTTTAAATATAATTGCATTGCTTTATTATCTATATTATATATATATATATATGTGTACAATATAAGCATTAAATTCAAATTATTTCTTTTTTCCTAGATAATTCGAACTCTCACTAAATCGAAAACTTTTATAAACATACATTTTTTATCTAGTTTTTCTGATTTTCGAACTGTTGAGTGTCTACTATAGTATGCGAAAACTGCATCTCTCTGCACCTCATCGCAACTTGTTCGCAGTCGAGGCGGTATTTTTTCTCTCCTCTATCACACATTTTACTATATATTATAATGCATTAATGTGGTATTATGCAAACGTTTTCCATAATTAATGGTAAAAAAACTATCGTTTACGCAAGATGCACCCGATGAATGCAGTATTTGAAACATTCTAAAAATTGAATAAATATAGCATTTAAATAAAATATAAAATACCGAATACCTATGCAATCCGAGCATATTTTCATAATAAATTGCGATGCCGCCGCCAGCGTGTTACATAAAAACCGTCACTGGTTTCAAAATACCACACAATAGTCGACCGTTATTGTCAAATACTGCAGTTGATGCCTTTCTGTTGCACTAGAACAAACTCTATATGTGTAACGTATCATTATTTATGTCGGGGGAAAATAATAAAAAATATTCAACAGCCATTAGTACACGAAACTATATTATAAGGTGCGGCGGCGGCCGTAGACCAACGGTTCCCAAAGTGTGTTTCAATGTACCTAAGGGTTGTGCGAGACATGGTGAAACATTAAGAAATGGATTTGTTTTATTATTTCATATGAATGGGAAAATAACATTTTCCCATGTACTTAATACGACAACATATAGATACGTGCGATCGCTATAGACAGTGGATGGAAAGTGCTGATGAGAAAATTCCGAGTGTTGCTACGCACTGTGGAAACCCATGGACACTGACGATGTTAAACAGTACGATGTGCAAGTACTCTGAAATCGGATGAACGTTTAGGCCCTCGATCATGAAAATCCTGCACGAAAGCGCGCCGTTTTCCAAAAGTGTCTAAGCGTTACCGTAAATGTTTGGGAACCGCTGCGGCAGACGTACCATACGGCAGTATGCATTTAACTATTGCCGTTTTTATTGTCTCGGGCCATTATATTAATATCGCGTTTTTTTTTATTTATTTCTTATTTTATTTTATTTTATTCCACACGCTCGCGGTCAAATAATTACAAGAGGATGCAACCGGTTTACCGCCGTGTCCGAGTATAACGACATCGAATATAGTGTGGAATCCACGTGCACGCGCAGCGCCCTATAACGACCGTCCAATATTGTAATCTAACCGACGTCGCATGTGTGCGTACAATAATAATCATATGCATGCTGGGTTTAGGCTATACGTGGCTTGGCGCAGACTTGTCGGCGGCCTTGGCCGGTAGGAAGAAAAGAAGATGGGAAGAAAAAAAAACTCATTATACATTTTTAATACTGCAGGCTATCGGTGAGAAAAGTGCGCCGCTCGTATTCGCCCGAACATTTCAGTCGCGGACGTTTCGACTACTATAGTATAAGTTATTAGCTATATTTATTATAATTTACGCACTGTTGTGCACGCATGCGGCCGAGATCGTCCTGTCCCTACTTGCAGTATTCACTGCCGCCGAGGACGAAATATCGTTGGACCCTATTAAACGGTTGGATGTCGAGTAGAGTTGAAAAATTCAAACAATTCAAATATCTTTAACGTAATGGTTGAAAACGTGGAGTACTATGCGATACCGTTTTAAGCGTGTTCATACAATTTCTGATTATATTTTAGTTTTAAGTGTATTACAACATAAATTTGTTGTATGAAACGTAGTATTTGTATTAATATACAGTATGAGTTGATTAATTTTTGTATCTGTCCTGTTTCACAGAACTATCAACTGTTCATCGACCGCCGAAGAGACATGGTACAGTTGATGAATATTAATTGTATTGAATTAAACTAAGTTTTTAAAAATATTAACACAGATGTATTAATAATTATAATAATTGTAGGCAATTATTTTTACCTAACAGTTGAGCGTTCCAGTGAAATATTCGAAGAAATGCTAAAGGTGACGATTTTTAAGAGTTGTGTAAGGTAGGATAACTAAATCTTCTTGCGTACTTCTTCCCACTCACCGTTTTAAGCAAATTATTGTGTATATTTGAATAACTGATCATATTATTAGAAAATTTCAAAAGAAAAAAAGAGTAATTAATCTTGAATTTTTGTGATTGTTTTGAATTTTAAACGAACATCAATTTAATGCAATTCAGTGGCGCACATTTAAAAATAGATTGGAGTAGCATATTGAATGTAAAAATACCACGTACTCACCAAGTCACTTTCAAAAAAAGACCCGTGGGGGCTTTGCCTCTGCTTCTTTTTGAATATAATTTTATAACCTTGTTAATAGTTATAACTATAATATTAATAACATAATAAATAGGATTTTCAATTTTTTTTTTATTTAATCTTTAACTTAATATTAAACAAGTTATTTAAGATTATGATGTAGATATTTTAAGGACAGGGGTCCACCAAATCACCACAAAAAATCAGGGTAAGCAGCTGCTATCATTGCGCCCTACAGTGTGCGCCACTGATGCAATGGAAAGATGTTGGAAAACTGACATTATTATGTTATATTTTATTACGGCATATTAACTTCATAGGGCGTTTTGGATAGGCAAATTTAATGTAGATGTGTAATAAGTGTTATAATTTCACTTTATTTTATTATAGAAATATTATCAAGTACCTAATTAAATTATGATTAACCTCCTATGTGAACATTTTGATGGTATTATAACATTAATGGTCAGTTTTTATTTATGTAAAAAAACACATGTCTATAACATTATACAACCAAGCATAAATGATTATTAATTACTGAATTATTATTATAATGATATTATAATTCCAAGATTATTGCATTATTTCTTCTTGGCATAGCACTCTAATTTGCCAATAATATTAAAACTTAATAGATTGTAGCCTTGTCTTTGTGCTAATCGAAAGTCTATAGTCATTTTACGATCAACTTATGCAGTTTTTCTCTTTTAATATTCGTTTTAAATAATACTGTGTCTATATTTATTAGAGTTTTATGGTGAATTTTTAAACGTTTATAGTTATGACTGGTAATAATATATGATGCTCAAATCGAACCGACCTAAAAGTATACGTCGTATTCAATTGCTTTCCGAGACTACGTCCAAGTCGTTAATCCTTGAAGTTATGGTAAAAAATTGAAATAGGTTAAATTTGTTAGAAAAAAAACATAAGGATTCTTCATTTTAGCGATATTATATTGTAACCATAAAAATATATTGTATCCAAGGCAAACTCCAAGTGAAATCAGTATGTTTGTTATTATGTACCATCTTTGTTTACATGTTTAACTTATTTTTTTTCGTTATTTTTTCGGCTGATGTAACTTATTGTGCAATTTCGCTATTATAAATGTGTTATTCGATTAGTTTTTTTATTTATATATTTTTGTAACATTTCGAGTATAATACCGAAAACCAGTTTTGCGCTTCTTGAAAAATGTGTAAATATATATATACTGCGGCTTGGATGGTACCTATATTACGGGTTAAACGATTCATAAAAAGAATCCATTGAACCATTCTATATTACTATATTATTATACATCTGCGATTATAAATCGCTTGATTTTTCTGGTTTTGGATATTATAGGCAATCTCGGATGAGCACCATCAAGGATTACGTGTAGTAAAATGTTGTAATATGATTATTACATATAAGCTGAAAACGATCATTGGCAGCTATTTGTTCTCGCAGATACGTACTGACATTATTTTTTTTTTTTTGCACGTTACGTGTTTTGTATTAATGTTATAGTTGTCGCAAGTATTTTGAAATATCATTGGTGGGCATAACCATGTTTATAATAATATATTATTATTTTAATATGAGTATATATATATATATATTTGCTTATAGGTGTATTATATGGATAATAGAAAAAGAAAAAATACTATTATATATGTCGTTTTACAATAGTATTGTTTTTATTTTCAAACTTAAACTCTACGTAATGACATACATATTACACATGGTGAACAAAATAATATGTTCATCCGAATACGAGTACGTATTTTACTAATTGTATACAATATACGCAAGCGTATCGGACGAGTACACATACATACATAATAAAGAAACGACGACAGAAACGTCAGGTATGAGAGACGTCCCCGTTTGTGGCAGCATTCGTCGGTAAGGATAATATAGGTAAGTGTACAAAGATATGGAAAGGAAAAAAAACAGAACAATTCGGTTCGACTTATTCTTCGGGGTTTCGATAACGCGCCGCTTCGAACCGAATTGTTGAGTTTTTTATCTTTCGTTTTATTTATTTTTACAAGGGAAGGGAAGAACTAAAGGCAGTTGGTATAGGGAAGAAGAGGCTCGGGTTTGCCGAATCGCGTGCACGGTCCGGCAGCAGTTGTTGATTATATTTTGATTTTCTTGTCATAGACGGGTTGCTCGGATCGTGTCTAGTACCGTTTGGCACCGGCGATTGGGAAACCTCTCTCGTCGTATTGTCCTGCGTCGGCGGCGGCGTTCTTGTAGGCCAGCTCGTTAGCGCGGACCAACGCTTCTGGGAGTGGTGGTGGGGTGGGCAAATGAGCTCCCTTGGCGACAAAACCGTTTTCGCCGTCGGCGTAGTATTCTACTTGGTAGACAACGCCGTCGGGGCCGGTGTACAAGTAGTATCCTTGAGCCACTTGTCCCTCGGCTTCGGTACCCGGGTTCTTCAGGTATCCGGATTCACCGGCCGAGATTCCGTTTCCGGTCTGGTAGCTGTAGTACAAAAGCGCGTATTACATTAGTGACGGTAACAGAATTACAACGATCGCGCATTATTGGAACTGCCCATTGTCGCGTTTGTACTAAAAACAAAATGTGTGCTCACCTGTATTGGTAAGATCCATCGAGATTGAGTTCTTGCGACTGGGCGACGATCGGGATTGGGGTCGTGCTGACGGCGGACGGGGCGTAGTAGGCACCTTGTGGGGCTCCGAAGACGGCGCAGGCCGAAGCCAAGACCAATAAAGCTGTCTGTAAAACGGAAATAAGTGCTGGATATAACGAGCATGTCATAAGTACATATATATTTGATATCCATGGAACGTTGCACGTTTATTGACATCATCGTAAGTATAGGGTTGCGAATCCCAGTGCAAAGGCGAAGGAAAATGTTATTCGAGTTTTCCGTGCTGTACGATCTATATAGATGAATCGACATTGAAATATGATCGAACACGTAATTCCGGTTATCGAAGTCTCTGATCTATCGTGATTCATCCGTGTTATACATGTGTTTAAGATCTTATATCGAACTTCTATTCCCACCCAATATTATAACATATGTTACTGTATATTCAAATTAAAGTTTTCAAAATTTACCAAAATTAATAATTATTAAAAGTTACTTAACGACATCGGTATATACCTTCATAGTATATTTTGATGTCGAAGACAATTTATTTTGTTCAATTCGGTTTTTTTGTTGTTGATATTTTACATCGTGCACGCGTGTCGCAAGTCGTGCGGACGTTTTTAATAGAGCCTCTAAAGTGCTCGGGGCAATATGCATACATACGTTGCTGCGATAACGGTAAGCTCATGACATTATAATAACGGTCGAGGAAAATAACGTATACGCGATGCGTAGGTATGTACTCGATAATTATTATTACGCGGTGGCGGACTCATTCAAGTGCGTTACGTGATTAAAAAAGCTTTTCCATATTGTTGCAATCGTGCACGCAGCTCAATTATATTCATATCATTATATTATTATTATTACTTTTATTATTGTCAGCAGCGCGAGCCGTGAAAACGCTTTGTCACGGTACTATGCGTGTTTAATATTTGTTTTCAAAGCTCGTCCTGTCCCAGTATATAAACACACGTGCACGCACGCACATTCACACAGCTTTTACGACACGATGCACAAATGCGTATTTTGAATCGCGTATGTAAGAGTGAAAAGCGCTGAAAAGAGATAATCGCGATCGATCAAATGAAAACTCGGTAGAAGCACATGAATTACTGTCGAATAAATGTACAAATGTAGTATTATAAGACACGAGAGGAGAACTGATGCGCCGAATTTTGTGCGACCGAACCTACTCTTGCAGCTTCGTCCGAAACGATGTTTTTATTTCACAGACTTCGCGAAATTTTTTTTAAAGTCTACCACGTCGTACCGTCGTAATTTTCGCGTTTAATAATTTACAGGTAAAATATAATAGATAAGTGTAAAACTTACGGATTGATACATTGTGATTTTTGAGTTTGGTATTTTTGGTTACTGCTGCAGTTGTCTTGAGACTGTTGTTGTTTGATAGACTTGAGAGCACACACAATTGTCTGCTGATCGTCGGTCAACTAATAAATACTCGAATTCCCCACCCCAGCACAATGTGACCGGATAGATGGTATCGCATTAGATCGAAAACGCGCGCGTATTGTGCGTCCGGATGAGAGCGATGGATGAATGGAGGGAGTGAGAGAGAAAGAAAGAGGGAAGGAGGGAGAGAGAGAGAGAGAGAGAGATGAGAAATGAAGAAGGACTACAAAACGTGAAAAAAAGGGGAAAGACGAAAGAGACCGTCACCGTCGTCGATATCTTTCCCCTTCGAATTCGTGTATCGGTGGCGAGAGGAGGTCACGGTGCGGGATGGTGTCGAATTTTACGCGTGTATGTGATAACTATGTGAAGCGTATAGTTGCAGTCGAGGAGCGTGTGATGAGGAGGATGAGGAGGAAGGGAGGCCCGGTGACCTTAAGGAAGAAGAAGAAAAAACATCATAACCCGAGCGTGGGCCGCGCGCTAAGTATTGCGCAACTATCTCGCGTTCCTGCAGTGTACGATGACGGATGAAGTGACCGGTGCGAGGTAAAGACTTCACCGACCGCTGTCGCCATTTTACGTTCACGCCAGACACGTCCACCTTATTATTACAATACTGTTACCATCAAATAGTATTATACTACGCGCGTACACCGTGCAGTTGTAATTTCGTGCGATTTCGTCGAAACGACTTTAACGATTATTATATTATGTTCAGTAGTATGTTCAGTAGTACGCGTGACACAACCGAAAAGTCTCCAGCACGAGTTTGGTTTTTTTTTTTTTTTGTTTCCATTATTTTCTATAATTCGATAGATTTTTACTTTTGAAACAGTATGAAGTTACTAGAAATCGATCGGATCAAGTGAACAACGCAACCGTGAACGTTGGATGAGAGTGTCGTCAAAAGGATCAATAATTATTATTAAGATTGATCACTCATCGCTCGATCGAGAAGCATAAAGAATTCGTTCAAATCCGTTTGATGCATTTCAAACTTAAAATTATGATACATAACCGTGTAGTACCTATACTATACGAGTATATTAGGTACAATCGGCTTCGTGTTGGGACGATTTTGGTTTCTTTTTTAAATTTATTTTATTTTATTTCGAAAATGTTATTTATAATTAATTTATTACCTAATTCGTGATATCGTTGATTCGAAACATTAAATAATGATTACACCATAATCGCTGTACAGTTTCAACACACCTGCAAAGTAATAAGGTTCAAACTAATTCCGTTTTCATTTTATATTATCGTATTTATATTTTGAAGGTTTTTCGCATAAACTATATACCATCATTTGCAAAATTATCGATGTATATTAATATTTTTGTTAGCAAAACTGCCGTTTTGATACTATTTTATTCACTCTACAAAATTGTCAATAATATAACAACGCGATCAGTCCGTTGTTTTGAAGCTATTGTGACACGCAGTACGCTATACCCAACGTGTTAAATCGTATCTCGTTTCATTCACCGTTGTAGCATTCAGAAAAAAAAGAAGACATTTGGCGCCATATTTCCCGCAGAGAAAAAAGTGCAAGAAGTACATTTCTCAATTTTTTAATGATTTTTGATCTGATTTTTTTATTTTTATGTATGACGTCGTTCGGAGACAAAAACGATTCGTTTTATTTTTTCAATCCTTGCATCTGATCATCGTTCGTTGCCGGGGCGGACGCAGAAAAGTTTTTTTTTTTTTGAGGGGGGGATGTTTGAAAAAATAAGAATAATTACTGTTATTTTGAAATAATTGACTATTGACTATAGATTGACTATTGTCGATCGTTATCCCATGATTATACAACACAAAATTTAGGGAAACCCGTCAATCAAAATGTACTATTGTAAATAATATTATATCCATAATCCACTAGCTTAGGGTGACCATATTAAGAAAATAAAAAAACCGAATAGCCGTTACTTCCCCCCCAAATAAAAAACCTCATCCATATACATTCACACATATGCACATAAATCTCGAGAATTAAAGTCCAAATCTCTGTCATATCATAAACAATTATTTTCTTTTTACTTCATCCTTTTTTAGTAAAATAACCTAAATAATAAAATATTTTCTTTTAATTATTATTAAATTATTAAATCGGTAATTTTATAATTTGTCAACATCGGGACTTGACGTTCGTTCCACGAAAATTTACAAGCATTTATAATTTATATAATAAATAATATGGCCATAACGGGATAAAAAGCGTGCCATTCGAAGTTTGTCGGGACAACGGGACGTGATGATCAAAAAACGGACAATCAAGTTTTAAACGGGACGTCTGGTTACCCTACACTAGCTCCATTTTTCTCGCCGAGGTAAAGCGACGCGGCGCGAGCACAAGTGTAATCGGTTCACTCGTGTCGTCTCGTCTCATCTCGCCTTGCCTCGTGCGCATTCCACTCAGAGTCGATATTTTGGTCGTGAATCAAAAGAACACGAGACACAAGGTGAGGCATAACAACTTTACTCTCACCTGAGCTCGCGAGTCCTCAGTTAGGTTAGGTTAGAAATCAAAACGTTTTGTGCAAAAAAATTTGAGTAAAATTTTCAAACTCACTTGAAGGTTCATATAACAATTCTACCAATACATTTTTCATGATTTGCTTGAAAGAAAAATGTGAAAAAATAAGGAGTAGTACAAAGTTTAATTCTCTCCATCATTTTTCTTATTGAGCCATTATTACTTTATATCAAACTAACTTATTTTGTTCTGTTTCTGTGTATTGTTGTTGTCTACCATCTCCTCTTTTTGGGTTGTTTAACTTTTTTTGAGTGGCTTGAATGTAAAAATTATAATAACCGTATGCACTCAATGCAGCCGCGGCTGTTATTTCAACTACGCCCATTTTTTACAACAGCTAGAAACAACTAAGTGAGTCACGAAACTACACAAGAGTGTAGAGTATGCATTTGTGCGCTGCCTCGCCTCGTGTTAATTCGACAAGAGTCTCGACGAGGCGACTTCGTGAGAGTGTGGAGCTAGCTTTACGTATATTTACTTATTTTTATTTACTGATAATAAGTGACTTACAAACACTCATTATTTTTATGAAGTGTTGCCATCATGGAATTTCAAACATTTGAGTTTAAAGTACCAATACTTTGTAAAACGTTTGGAAAATTACAAATTATTAACAAAACATTTTTTTCTAGTATATTTTAATCGTATTTTGAACAATTAATTTTTTTAAGGTATATAAGGTAGGATACCTACATTTAAAATTAATCATCCATTCATTTCGGGGGGAGGGGGGTTGAACCCCCAAAACCACTTCATGTGTCCACCACTATTCGTTGCGAATCGCCGTGTGGAAGCAATACAGTTGCCAATAACCACGTGACACGTGTAATTCCATCGTCGTTGACCTAGGCATAACGATAATTTAACGGCTCTTAAACTATGGTTCACAGATCTTTAATGGGACTTCGACATACACATAGGAATTCAATCAAATTCAGACATATATATTTTATTATTACCTAGTTGAACTGTTACGTTTATACAGATTGTACATTATACAATTATTAATTGAACCGTTACTGTAACCGTATAATGTTTAAAAACAACTTGGAGTATTATAAAGAAATGAATCCCAAATGATTTAAATAATATGGATACATTGGTTTCTACGAGTTTTAGTTGGTATTCCTGGTATTGGGGGGCTCATTTCTTAATATCTCGAGGGTAAAACAAATAAACGTGTGCGAACTATAGCCCTAATAAAACACAATGTGACATTATGATACCAAATCAACTCTATAATATATTGTAATGTAAAATATTATTATGTTCGCGATGCTCGGTCGTGGTTTAAATATCATTGTGACGATTGGAAAACCGAGATAAGTCCGGAGAGCGCTCAAATTACTTGTAATACGGATAATGCGTTCGATGACATTTATCTATACTGTATAAATTCATGATCTAGCGGTAGGTTTTTATTTTTTCGTAAATCACGTCCGAAATCACTACCATATTAGGATTATATCGCTTTATCATTCTTCAATGCAACTGCTATGTATGAATAAATTATACAGAATTTTTAGATATTTTTTTCGTCCATGCGATCGTTAAATACGATAGCCAACGACAAAAATATGTATACATAAGCACATAAATACACACATACAGTTACAGTATACACCCGCACGCAGATACTTGTGTGAATGTTTACAAACCGTAAACGTATACCTAACCTCTAGTTATGGTTGTTACATAAACGCAATTAGCAGAAGACGCCGTACATGCATATAACATTATGCATTATACGTTTACGAGTTCGGCTGTATTTTTAATTCGCTTGCTTAACCATACACCGCGGCGTGTATCTATTATAATACGCGTTTACATGTGCTATTTCTACAAACACATTATTGTGATCATAAAACAAATCGGTTCGACGACTATTTCGAATCCGTCCGTAGGTGTTTTTGTTAAATGTTTAAAAATATGTATTTATTTACATACTAGGAGCGAATATGAACGGTTTTGTAAATATTAATATGCTGGCATCATTTTGGTGACATTAATAGCCACGCATTTTCAATTATAAGTTTAAAAATTGATTAGATCATTATATTGTATTGTTATCATGATAAATGTATCTCATGATTTTTTTTAAAATTGTAACAATGCATAAAATATTATAGATGTAAAATTATGTTGTATAATAAGTGGTGTAAATGCAATAAAAAAATTAAAGTTGTGCACGTTTGTGTACGTGTGTGCTTGTGCGTGCGCATTTAATAGGTGAAATCTATTTTAACATCAACTTTTTAAGTATCAAACGTTGAGCACTATTGAAGTAATATGACCAATCAAGATTAATTTTAAATTGTAAGCAATAATATCAAAATGGATTTATTTTTGTCGTGATCGTACTCATCATAGAATAAGCGGTGAACGTACGTTTGTAATAATGATTTATAATAGGTATTATAGTGTATAGGTGTACTGTTGTATAGGTCAATACTTCCAATTAGTTATAATTTCTTTTACGCATAT